ACGTTATAGTCAAAAGCAGCAGCAATACCACAGCAGATTGAAAGCCGTTCATAAATTTGGAAGGAAAAAGAGAAGTCACACAATTTTGAGAAGCTTGTGTACCCAGGGTAGAATCTGTCCTCTTCTAAAATTTAAAGCCACAATGAAGTGAAATCAGTGAAACCTAAATCTACCCATCAAAACGTTTTGTGTGAAAGACAAACTCCAGAATATACCATAATTGGTGTATGCAGTAACATTTTTACCTCCTGAAAGCTGTTTGTAATCCTCAAGTACTTGTCCTAAAACTGCACAATACTATGCAACTGAGCAGTCAGTGTTCAAAACACAGAGGAAGAATTCACACAACAACAGCACTTAAAACGGACCCAAAAAGTGATTAAATTTAATCTTCCATTACTTGACAGCCTGCTGATAAGGAACTGATCAAACCTTCTCAGACTTTAAAAAAACCTCATAAGCAAAGACAGCTTTTTATGACTATTAAATCTCCAAACAAGCTGACTTCCTTCTCTGAAAGCTAAAAACATCTTTAAAACAAACTATCTCAATCTAACCCCTACAGAAATACCTTGAGAAGACCAATCATATTTCCTTATATTTCCATGATGAATAATTTTGTGCTGCTAGCTATTCCAAATTCCAGAACATTTTTGTTATAATCACAGGCTGATGTAACTTCTGTATGTTTCCTTATGGTCCTTCCTTCCTTCCAATGCACACTAAAGAAAACAACACACTCCCAGTTTCTGCAAACACATAGAAAGTCATTGTTCCAAACTCTTCTGCATGTGCCCAATCCTACCAGCTTTTGGGGCACTTCTCACTCACAGGCTGTGGTAGAGGTCTCTGCTAGGCTGCCATCTGTAAAGCACCAAACAACATGCTGGAGGTACATGTTCAGGTGTAAATCTCATCACATAATGGGTTTATAGGAAAATAACAGGGAGCAAGGCAGAGATGAATTGTTATGCTACACCATCCAAAACAGGTGGATATAAAACAGATTCTGCAGTTGCTGTTCCAAGATGCAGTACTAATACATATATCAGGTAGACAGAGGGCAGGGTGTCTGCCCTGTGCAGGCAGAATTAGGTTTGATAAAGTATTTAAATTTATTTAAATACGTCTTAATTTATATTAGAGTTTGCTTCTAACTATAATCTGCTCAAATATAAAATCCACTCAAATCTGTGATAAGGACTCTACTTCGTTTAGCACATTTTAGTACACATTTCAGCTAGCTGTTGTCCCTGACATTAAAGCAGTCAGCTAGCCCAAAATATTAAGTTCCTTTATTTATTGGAAGTTATTGGATCTGTGTGTCCAAATACATGGCTAAGCAGACACATTTTAAAAGCTCTCACTGCTACCAACAGCAACTAGTAGGCTAGTAAATAAGCAAGTGTCCTGAACATTACAGGGCTCAGCCCTCACTGAGGGCTCCTCACAATGGTCCTGTGATCCTTGATGGCAGCGTTTACATTTAAGACAGCATGTTCCACCTTCCAGACCAGCACTGCTGGAGGCAGAAGCTTGTCTGAGGCACTTAGGCAGCAGGACTTGCATATTTCCTCTCTACCCAATGCACAGAATTTCCATAAAGCTCTCAGCACTTGCTCTTTTCTCGTTGCTTGCTCTCTCGTCACAGAATTGCTGATATTTTTAACAGAAGGAACATATCACTGCAAAGAAAATGACCAGGGCACTCTGCAGTGGGTGTAGACTTTTTCTAGGAAGGTTTCTTATCTCATCACCAATATTTTCAAGCCAGTCTTCCTTTGTATCTGTCGTGGTTTAACCCCAGGCAGCAGCCAAGCCCCACACAGCTGTTTGCTCACTCCCTCATCAGGAGGATGGATGAGAGAATGGGATGGGTAAAAGCTAGAAAACTCATGGGTTGAGATAAAGACAGTTTAATTGTGAATGCAAAAGCTGTGCACATGAGCAAGGCAAAACAAGGAATTAATTCACAGCTTCCCACGGGCAGGAGGTGTTCAGCCACCTCCAGGAGAGCAGGGCCCATCACACGTAATGGGCACTTGGGAAGACAAATGCTATCAATCCAAACATTCCACCCTTCCTCCTTCTTCCTCCCACTTTATAAACTGAACCTGATGTCATATGGTATGGAATATCCCTTTGGTCACTTTGGGTCACCTGTCCTGCCTGTGTCTCCTCCCAACCTCCCATACACCCCCAGCCTCCTTGCCAGTGTGGCAGTGTGGGAAGCAGAAACGACCTTGGCTCTGTGTAAGAACAAAAACGTCTCTGTATTTTCAACCCTGTGTTCTGCATAAATCCAAAACATAGCCCTGTACAATCCACTCTGAAGAAAGTTAACTCTACCCCAGCCCAAACCAGCACAGTATCCCAGAAGACATTAATGAAACAGGCTTCCTTGTGACTAAGCAGGGTTTCTAAACACACTGCTCATCTGTGTGAAATACAAGGTCATATTCATTAGACAGAAGGATAAGAAAAGGCTTTTAAGGCCAGGAAAAGTGCTCAGAGACTCTTAATAGTAATTTTTTTAAAAAATAGAGATTTCTCATGCTTAAAAAAACCTCACTTACTGTCATTGAAGAGGGCTTCTGCTCTTTTTGGTTCCATATCTGAAACAAACAAACAGTCAGTGTAAGGCCAGGATAGCACAGACAAGGTTTCCCATCTGTATGGTCATCCCACCTGACAGCTATTTATGTACAGGGCACCACAGGAGGCATGGATGAGGGGGGCTGCTAGAGAAACCAGTGTAGCTCATATGTTATCATGTTCTTGTGCTGGCTGTTGCACTCTGTTGTGCTGCTTCTTGTTCCCCAGCCAGTCAGTATCCTCTGAGGATCAGGAACAGGGTCTCTCCCTCCCTGTTGGACCCTGATGTTTCTGGAGGTGAGCACAGGCAAAGCAAGTCCTGTATTACTCAAGATTCACAATTTTGTTAGGGAGGTTTTTAGGGTGGAAAGTTTGAAGCTCCTTTTTTTATGGTAAAATTTCAAATGGCTGCATTTTACACTAGTGTGAGGGCCAGAGAAGACTGGGTACCCACTCTATGCCCTCTCTGAGATCAGAAGGCACTCACTTCACTCCAGCAATGCAAGCTTACAATACCAGCAGCTCACTCGTTTCTCCTGTCTTATTGGTACACTATTAATACTAAAATAGATAGGTAATAGCAGTTTATTACATGGCACAGCAGGTTCTAGCAATACATTCCCTCCTTTAACATGCATGCTGTATGTTTATTAATAATACAGTATGCTCATGCCAACAATAAAAAGCATGGGCTCAATGTCTAAGTCTATCCCCCTTTTTCCAGAATCTTGTTTTTCACTAGAGCTACCATTGTAGTTTACAGCATTCAACACAATTTTAAAAAATACTAATAATTTTAAAAATCACAGTTTCAATACCTTTTTTAGTTATATAGTGATTCTGGTACAGTGTCAACAACTTTGTATTTTGCAGCTGGATAGCCATTCTCAGCAGATTTCTGTCCTTATTCACTTCCTTCATTTCTCTTTGTTGCTACACAGAATAATATCCCACACCGAGTTAGGAGGAGTATCTTTTGAATGCAAAGAGCTCTGGCTCATACTTGCCACCTGTTAGCTTTGTATCATGTGTGTTTTGCTTGACACTCCTTCAGGTATGCAGGGTGAATTGCTGTTTGCAATCCACCTGTACTAGACGTGTACTCATTCATTTCTTAATGTGACCTTAAGCAGATTATGATAGAAGAAGGAAGCAACCAGAACTCCAGGACATGTACTACTTGACTGTGGGGAATGTTGCAGAGCAAAGGCAGTGCTAAGGCTGCTGTATGTGCATGCAACCACTGCTTTATTTTGTAGGGATGGGAGGTGAGTTAAAACTGGACATTTTTATAGCAATACAGTCTTACTATGAACTAGGAACTAGGAACTGTTCACATAATAAAGATAACAAAGTTCTACTGGTGGGCAAGTGACAACTTTCGAGATCTCCTTTCAAGTAAAAATGCTCACTTGTACTTTCTCAAAGAAGGAGGAAAACACTAAAGTACAGGTACTTTTGTATTTTGGTAACGCTGGTTATATTCTGTGAATTTCCATGGCTAATATGGTTGATTGACTCTGAGATCCCTTACATCAAAATGTAATAATACCAGAGAGTAAAAGCTAGGCCAGCAGAGAGATTCAGCCTTGGTGTAAACATTGTTTACTGAGCTGTGCTTAGGATTTGGCTACTTCCCCTGCATGTTTGTATTGGCAAGAAGTGCTTAGCAAAATCTGGCCCTACTTGTTTATTTCAACTATGATGAGTATCCAGTGTCTTCCTAGAAATTCATACAACCTTCAGAACTAGCTCATCACTCGAGTCATGCATTATAGCTAGAAACTCTTAAGAAACCAACAAATGTAATTCACAATGAAAGAGGACCTTTTGCCTTCAAGTGCAATATTGATAACAATGGTTTTCTAGCTTCTCTCTGGGTGGAGAGACATTTACCTCATAATGCCTAATTATAAAGCCTGCAGTCAATTATTAACACTTACATTATGTTGCAAAGCTCATCAAGAAGACAAAAGGAGCAACCAGCTTGTTCAAGTGCAGTGCCGGAAGCAATTCAATTGGCATGTTCTCACTGCATCGAGTTTTGCTGTGAGTCACACAGGTGTTCTGCAAGCCACCTGTCTATATCTCTGTTTGCCTTTTTATGAGGCACCTAGAAAAAAGTACAAACCTCAAATGGGCAGAATTTTACCCATTGCTTCCAGCTTGATGGACTGCTGTGTAATTGGAGAAACAAGCTTTCCACACATACACTGCAAGCTGTACAGCTTTGAATTTCAGCATATTTTGTAATATATCACTAATGTGCAGCTGATGTACTCTCCTACCCACCCACTGCTGAAGGAGAAAAGTCAGTGACACGTGTCAATAAATTCAGTGCTCTATTCACTAGGGTAGGGGCACTGCTCTGATTTAAAGATCTGCCATATAAAGTGCCCTGACAACCTACCCCACACTGAAATATGCTGGAACACAAGTACTAATGAAAATGCCACAGCAATGGAGAAAACCTCAAAGTAAACCTCAAAGCTTTTAACAGGTGAAAGCAGATCTGTCCAGCAGCAGACCTGGGAAGCCATCATACAGATCAGGACTCGTGAAATTAAGGGCACAATACCCAGGCCTCAAAACCAAGATCCCAAACCCAGAGCACACATGTATGTTTGGAAACCTGAACTAAAAATTGACACTATTTTCAGCCAAGCCAAGCCCACAGTAGATCCCATCAAAAGCAGGGAGCACTTTGGGTTGCATGATACTGCCGAGAGTCGTGTTGCTTACTGGCTTAGCTTGCTAGGGGCTTGCCTTCATTTCTTACTAGTTTCACAGTTTGGCCTGGTCAGGAGCACAGCTGTTCACATTGTGCTGGCCAATATGTTGCAAGCTCTGCCTTGAAGCAATCCCTTGTAAGGCACGAGAGACAATTTCGCTGCCCTGCTCATTTACTGGTTGCCCTAGTTGTTTGCACTACCAAGAAAAAGCATCAATTAGTAACAATTAAAGTGTCATATCTTGTCCCAGCCACATACAGCTGCAAAAGTAGTTGTTTGTGCCACATTTAGGAAAACAATATTCAGGCTTCTGCTGTAAACAAGAACAAGTTGAACTTGAACATGCATTGCCTACCTGTCAAATGAAACCTGGTATTGAATTCAAGCTTACTTAACTTAAAAATGAAAACTAATGTTTAAATTAAAATCACAGCTATCTATTGAAATGCAGGTTAGGGATTCTAAGAAGAGGGCACTGTTCTCCAACTGGACAAGCAATTTTATTAATTGTTATTTTGATTATTTAGTAAATGGAATAACTCTAAAACACACAACCTGTTTTTCAGTAGTATTTAGCAGATTCGGTCATGTTCCAAAAACTGCACCCAAAAGAAACTGCAGGAATTTCCTGAAACATGGCTAAACATGAGCTTTGTGCTCAGCAGGA